GATATTTTTTTGTCAAGAAATGGTTATTGACAAAATAATCCTATATGTCAAGGAGTCAGTGGGAGTTTTAATGGACTTGAAAAGTTTCAAGAACAAATAAAATAAACCTTAACGATCATCACTAGCACACGAGTTGAGGTTTACAACCTATCTTGTTGACATTAATTTTTTTCTGTGCTGTTCCAATTGAGTTAATTATGCATGTGAGTCCTATGAGTTCTCATTTAGAACGCATAAAAGGCAAAGCACCTTAATCAATGAAAGGTACATTGATAAGAAAGGGTGAGCTGCTTAACTACTTGGAAGACATGGTGGGCAGCTGTGCTACCATAAGGCAAGAAATCAAGTTTAAAAAAGTTCGGTCCATATGAGTTTGAATTTGTCGTAAACTTTGGTTTTAACAAATTCACATGGATAGGAACAAATACACCGCTTTAAATCTAAGTTTCATAAGATTTCCTACTTCATGAAAATGATTGTGAGGAAATGCTTTCACTAAGAAAGATTTTAAGAAGATAGTGATTGTAAAATTTCATTCTCAAATTCAATTATGGTTACGGTATCCCTTTCCATGATTTGAATTGTGAGGTTTGGCAATTAGTCTTAAATGTTTAGACACATATGAAATATCTAAGGCAAAGGTGTATAAGTTCAAGAAGCCTTGATAAAAGATTATCAAAGCATTAAGTATTAGAAACATGAACTTAAGAAATTCAATAGGTATTGTTTTTCTGGAAGTTAAGATGTTTTGAATACATGTCGAAGCTAGTGGGAGCATAAGTGTTATGTTTTATAGTAATCATCATGATAGTGGGAGCATAAAAGTTATGATTGTATGATTATTATGGAAAGTATTGCAAGTTGGCAATATTAATTATAGAAAACAAGAGTTATACCTTGAAAAGTTGTAAGGGTTGTAAAGTTGTTTTGTTATAATTAAGGGAGAGAATATTATGCTTCATTTCAAATCTAAAGGATTAGGTTGATAAATATTAATAAATTTAGTCAAAGGTACATAGTGTGTTATTAAAATTTCGATTATGATTACGGCATTCCTCTTCATAATTCGAATTTTGAGAACATAGCAAATAAAACATTATGCGTCGTGTCTCATACGCTTCGGGTATAGGATCGATTGCAAATGCTTTAATATTTGACCATTCTAAAAATTTTCAAAATGTCTAGCGCATTTAAAGGAAAAAGGGACTAGAATTGGTTTTGACTAAAATAATTAAACAACTAACAAAGGACAATTCAAACTTCGACGAGGATTGGTTGCTTGTAAGTAGTTGGAAGAATGGTATTAATGGACCATATTGACATTATAATGAATAGAAAAGATTCTATTAAGAATGAGTTGTCATATGTAAAATGTGGAAATGTTTCCATATTGGATGGACCATATCGACCTTATTATGAATAGAAAAGATTCTATTAAGAATAAGTTGTCATATAGAACATATGGAAGCGTGTCCATATTGGGAAGTAAATATTGAAAATCTATGACTAGATTAGAAACTTTTATGCAAAAGGATGTTTAAAGGAATGTACTTTGAGTGAGAGACATCATATCTAAGGAATTGTCTTGTAACAATTTCCGTTAGAGAACTTTGTAATATCATTGGCAATAGTCTTTATGACTTTGGTGCAATGACATTACGAAAGGATCGTTGCATAGAATGTTAGAATCTAGCATATTCTGTAAGTAGCAAGAATTTGATATTCTTACACTTATGAAAAAGGATTTGGAGTTGTGAAATGAGAATGATTGGAAATGTGCTCAATTTTTCTATTTCACAAAAGTAAGAACCATAGGTAAACATTGTGTGCATGCTAGGAGCATGGGACAAGTGTAATATTACCCGGAACGACAAATAATGAGTAATTGGTATGGTGATAAATAAAAAGAGTTTTATTTATACTCAAAAGTTTGAGGCCATATGGGATTAATATTATTCTTGTGTTTCACTTTGCATGTTTTGACTTCCAGAATAATTGAGTTTATTAAGAATAATCGAATTATTCGAACGGGCCACAGTCGTTCATATGTTGGAAGTAGATATTAATGAAGACTGTCATGAATTGGTGTGTGGATTGTCTAGAAAAGTATTAGACATAAGCAAATGTTTGCTGCAACGTTCATGAGTGCTTACGGATATGATTTGAACATTGGATTAAACCCACGCTCACTTGGATCGCTCCATGAATTGTATCACGAGTGATTTGTGAGACGATAACATCTTATATTCTTGAAACCGAGATGTGTGAGTTGTATCTTGCGAATCGGTTTCACATTGATAATATGTAAACGCACTAGTAACTTGGTGTTATAAAACATATTGTTGTGTGTAATTCGGTGAGTGAGTGCAAGCGAGCATTGTATCAAAGTTTATCCGTTCCTTTTATCCAAAGTAGGATAAAAGCGATATCTTTGGGTCCCTCGATGGTTTAGTGATGACATACGTAAATGCTCGGCCGGGCTAGGGCTAATTTGATTTGTTCAATTAGTCTGTCGTCATAAATCAGAAATCGAGAAGTAGTACAAAGAGAATGATTAGAAATCATATCTCATATGATATCTAGAATGGAGGAATATATGATCCCTTATCTAAGGACACGCGTATCTGATATGATCAGAGTTGACAGCGGCTTTGGAAAACTACGATTGCAGATCAGGATCTGAAGTCATACGCAGAATAGTTATTAGACTTATCCAAGTGGGAGACTGTTGGATTAGTGTCTAAGTCCATAACTATTTTGGTATGTACTTGACCCGATGGTGCATGGTCCTTTTGGGTTGCCTTCACCGAAGCAACTTGATTGGAGAAATATATAGAGAGAGAGGATAATATGATTTATTAATATGTTATAAGAATAATATATTAAAGGAGAAATCATATTTGTTTAATTGTTATTGGTCAATAATTAATTAAGAATTAATTTTGTGATCAAGTGTAATTAATTAAACTAGAGGGGCTGAATTGTAACTATGTGATAGTTACAAAATAAGGTAAGGATTATCTTAAATATATGGTGAACGAATTTAAGGTGATAATGCCTTAGAATTCGACTAGGATAAGGGTTTCTAAGACTTATCTTATGGTTGCTTGGTGGACAAGCAACTAGATAAAGATAAGGACTAAAACCCTAATCCTAACCCTATATAAAGACCCCTAAGGCCTTAGAATTCGTGGACTTGATCCCTAGAGCATCTAAGGACGAATTCTAACCTCTCTCCTCTCTCTTTATACCTTTTCCATTTGCTCTTGGTGTTTGTAAGCCATTAGAGGAGTGACACTTGTGATTCTAAGCCTTCCAAAGTCAATACAAGGAGATTTGGGATTGTTATTGCTACATAACAATCAAGGTAATATTATAAACCTATTCTTATGTTAATATGATTACTTATATGCTAGTATTAGGGTTTCTTTATGTGTTCATAATGTTGTGTATCTAATAGTGAAAATATAGATCCAATTCTAGGGTTGCATGGACACATAAGATTGTTTGTACAAAACCCAACAATATATATATATATATATATATATATATATATATATATATATATATATATATATATATTAAGTTCTAGAGTTTATTCTTTATCGAAAAAAAACTAAAAATATCTAAATTGAGAATTTAACATTGTGAATATTAAATATATTTTTCGGATTCAGCGTGTGAATTTAGATTCACATTGTGAATTTGACGAAATTTTTTTTTATTGAATTCCATAAAAAGTTATGAATTTCTGTTTTTTTTTTTTTTTTTTTTTTTTTTTTTTTTTTTAAATATTTGTGAAAGTTAAAAAAAAAGGTTGGTTATATATATATATATATATATATATATATATATATATATATATATATATATATATATATATATATATATATATATATATAGGGTTAGGTTCATTTGAGACCGCCTATATTTTGTGAGACCGTGAGATGCATTTTTTTATTTTTTTTAATTTTTTTAGTTAATTCATGTTCCGAAAATAATATTTAAAAAAAGAATTTTTTGATTTTTCTATTTATTTTACATTTTAAAATTATTTTTAGAATATGTACAGTGTAATATTCTATTTAGAATATTTCACGTATTTTTCAAAAAAAAAAAGAATTTTTTTTATTTATTTTTTATTTATTTTATTTTTTTTAGTTAAATCAAGTTCCGAAAATAATATTTAAAAAAAGAATTTTTAGATTTTTCCATTTATTTTGCATTTTAAAATTATTTTTTAGAATACGTCAGTGTAATATTCTATTTAGAATATTTCACGTATTTTTCAAAAAAAAAACGAATTTTTTTTTATATTTTTTTTAGTTAATTCAAGTTCCGAAAATAATATTTAAAAAAAGAATTTTTGGATTTTTCCATTTATTTTGCATTTTAAAATTATTTTTAGATTTAGTCTTACGGTCTCACAAAATTAGAATGGTCTCAAATGAACCTGAACATATATATATATATATATATATATATATATATATATATATATATATATATATATATATATATATATATATATATATATATATATATATATATATATATATATATATGCCAAACAACTTTTACACAACCTTACAAAAGTTACAACGTGTTGTCACAAACTTACAATACACTTCCATTCTGTTATCTTGCCAATCCAATTGCTATTCAAAAAAATTATTTTTAAAGTTCATTTTACCCGGGAATTTTAAAACTTGTATGCTATTAAAAAATAAACCAACGGTATTCTAAAGAATAACATAAAATACTATCCGTCGTTTCTCAAATAACCTTTGTATTTATAAAAGTATCCCTCATTCTTGGTGAAATTAAAATATGCAATAATTAAAGTTGTCTGCGATAAACAAGATGACAAAAGATTTAGCTGTCAAATGTGTAACGCCTACGTTACATTCGCCCTTTAAATAGGGTACACTCTTCACTTCTACAGATCACCTTACCATTGGTATCAAACCCTAGCAGCTAAATACATTCTCTAGCTAGCCATGGCAACCAACTCCATTGCTTGCAGTATCTTCATCTTCTTCCTCATCTGCAACATCACATTCTCCAATGCTTGTGGTTCATGCACACCCTCGAAACCACTACCACCAAAAGGCCCCCCCGCAAACCCCTTTTGTCCTCGTGACACTCTGAAGCTTGGAGTTTGCGCCGACGTTCTTGGTCTGGTCAATGTAGTCGTTGGATCTCCTGCATCTAGCAAGTGTTGTGCGTTGCTTGAGGGTTTGGTTGATCTTGAAGTTGCAGCTTGTCTTTGCACAGCCATTAAAGCTAATGTGTTGGGAATCAACCTCAATGTCCCAATCTCTTTAAGCTTGTTACTTAGTGCATGTGGCAAGACCGTTCCACCAGGGTTCAAATGCGAATGATCACATGAGATCTATCGATCCGTTTTCATATAAGGTTATAACACCATTGTTTAATTCATTCATCATTTTTATTTTACCTTAAAATGAAAATGAAATGGATTAAACAAAATGGGTTGCATTTTTTTACCGTTTAAATTGTGAATTTGTCAATGGGGTTCTTAAATAGGGTTTTGTTTTGTAATAAGCATTGTGGTTTGTTTTATTCCTTTGGATTTGGTCGTATGTATGTTTGATTTGGTGTCAATAAGTAGGCAGTAATTATTGCCTAAGTGTGATGTTGTTATTTATTTACCATGATTTCATTAATTTTGAAAGTAATTGTAAATTCGATTGAATTTTTGCAAGTGTATATTCGTACTCTAAAACGGTATAATGTGATGTGTTGAATATTTTAAATTTTTTTTTTAGTAAAAAAGATGGATTCTGGCGGTGGATAACGATTTGCTCTTAACTGATTTCAATTAGATGTTCCTATATGGCTATATGTAACAACTTAATTATTAATCCACATGTATAAACGAGTGAAAAAAGAAGTTTAAGGAGAGTTCTATTATGGTTTTAAATCTATTTAAAGATCATTGGTTTAGTGTACACTTTCGGATTAGTGTTATATATAGTATGAAACTATGAAATGTCTTTTTATTTCAAAAATCAAATTTGACTTTTTGAGATAATTAACTCTCCATTTTTAATCTCCCTACTCATCTGGATCTTCCCAAGTATATGTAGAGACTTATTTCGAGATCTCTTCATTTTAACTTTTCGGAAGAGCAGAAAATTACAGCAAAAAAAAGTTGAGAGGAATCGAACGATCAACATAGGAGTGGTGGTTTAAGAAATTTCATTGAGTTAAGGTAAGGGTCACATTAGGGCTGGTCTTGTCCTCAAATGTCCACAACAAATCAGAAAAATGATTATTATCGTGTTATATATATATATATATATAATTGGGTCATGTGCATGTGTTTATTTTCGGCCTCGTTTGATAGTTACTGACTGAGAAAGTGCTGACTGGGAAAGGTCTGTCTGGGTAAGAAATCCTAAATGAGTAAGAAATTCTATTGTTTGATTGTACATCTGACTGAATGTGCTGAGTGATGAAAAATGACCATTTTACCCTTCTGTTATATATAATGATGTATTAAGTTGCCGAATAATTATAAAAACATACATATTGTCATACAAAATGTAAATTACACACAAATAAAAAATATCATACAAAATATAAATTAAACATAAATCATTTAATATCCAAATAAAAACATAATGAAATTTAAAATAACATAATAATTTAATGTAAAGTAGGTGAAAGTAGTCGATTTGCAATCTGATCACGCAAAGCACGCATATATTCAATGGCATCTGGACCCCATTCTATGCCTTGTATGTTTTCTCTATCAATTCCCCCACCTTGGACGTCAGGAGTAACCATAGTGTTCTCCTCAAAATTTCTAAACAATTCATCTTCTATATTGTATTTCCTTATAAAATTATGGACCGCAACACAAGCAATGACTATATCTCTTTGCACTGTAAAAGGATAAGGAACCATTTGTTTTAAGATTGGGAATCTCGCCTTCAATACACTATAAGCACGCTCAATAACATTTCTAAGTTGTGCATGAGCATGATTGAACCTTTCTTCTATAGTTAAAGGTCTGCCTCTTCGAAAATCGGCTAACCAATACCTAGTATTGCGGTATGGAGCCATAAACCCACGAGTGTTTGTATATGCGGCATCACAAAGGTAATATTTATCTACAAACGAATGTGACATATTATATAATGACACATATTATATAAAGAAGATAGATAATAAAAATTATATAAAGATTACAAACCTGGTGGAGGAAATGGAAATCCAGAAGTCGAATTGAATGCAACTTCTTTCAAAACTCTTGAATCATGTGCTATACCCTCCCATCCAGCCCAAACAAAGGTGAATATCATATCAAAATCACAAATTCCTATTACATTTTGAAAACATTCTCCTTTTCCTCTTCCTCTATAACGAGTTTGTTGATCAATGGGTACAACTGCATGTATAAGAGTTCCATCTAATGCACCTATTGCTCCGGAAAAAATATTTTTTAACTGTCTATGCCGTTCCGAGTTATGTCTTGTTGGATTAGGAGTTGTTGGTACTATAATTTCTTTTGCAAAACACATCATTGCTGTTAGGACCTCATGAAAACATTGATGAATCGTTTGTGTGGAGTGATGAAATCTTCCCTTAACCGCGCGAAAACGTTCATTATGTCCTATAACATGTAAGAAGATAGCCATCTTTTCTTCAATGCTTATTGTCCTACTAGCTTGTAACCAATTTTTTTCGGTAAAATGGTTGCATAATAGTGCAAATGCCTCTTGTGTAAGACGCATCATATCGAAACATTGTGTAGGGTCTCCGTACATCAAATCTTGCGTATACGCATACCCGCTTGAATCGTTTTCTCTAATTCTATGAATTATGATTAGTCTGCCCCGGTTTGACCTCAACCAATAAAACACAAGTAGAAGAAAAGCTACAACTTCACCATCAGAAACCATACTTGACCTGTTACAAACAATTAGGTAACATGTTAAAAGTAAAAAAAAAATCATGCACCGAAGTCATATAACAAACATCATATAACATAAAACTAGTAAATAACAAAAGTCATATTCAATATCCAATAACATATCATCCAAACTAACTAAAGTCATATAACATAAGATGCGAAAGTCATCAAACATAGGATCCAAAGTAACCAAAAAAAACTAGAAAACATCATCCAAAAAAGTCATCAAACATAGGATCCAAAGTAACCAAAAAACTAGTAACCAAACTTTTCTACTCTCACCGATCAAAGGTAACCATACTTCCTACCCGCACTCATCACCCACGACTCACAACTAGTATGCGAAAGTCGTAACCAAACTTTTCGAACATCAGCACTTTCACCAAATAGCAAAAGAGCGGTCTTATGTCTTTCATCTTCTTCTCCCCATTCCGTTTTGTTTAATTTCTCCATACACACATCAACATCTTTATCCATTTCACTTTTTTCAATTATTTCATTTTTTTCCACTAACGACCTTGCAAGCTTGACAATCTCCTCTTCAACTTCTAACGCCCTTGCATCTCTTTTTTTCCCACCAACTCTTTTGTTTCCACCAACTTCTGTATTTTTTTGAACGCCCCGAAGATTCTTCACTTGCACCTACATGTTGTGTTGAGGTTTCCATTGGAACATCTTCATCAAAATCATGGGCACTAAACTCTTCTACAGGACGAGGGAGTGTAGAAGATGGCCCCCAACTTTGAAAGCCGGTTGAGGTTGACCCTTCAAATAGTTGGGTGCAAAGATCTGGAAACAGCAGGGGTCTACTTTTCAATGACAACACGTACTTGTTCAACTGTTTACAATTTTTATAATTATTAGCTTTTTTATAAAAATAATCATAATAGTATTTATTATAAAAATATTACCTTCCCCTCTTCCTTCCATTGTTCATCGGTCAGATTAAATTTATTTTTTATAGGATCATATATATTGCCGGTTTTGTTTTTCAATTTCACCCAAGCAACATACTTTGATTTGTAGTAGTCAAAGTGGTTTCTCATTTGCTTTTGATCAACCTCTTTACCGTGTTCGTTTATCAGTTTTTCGCGTACTATCTTCCATGAACTAGCCTTAAGCCCAGAACCCTCACGACCATTAGTGTTTATTTCATGGATACATGCATCAAGAAAAGTTTTGTCCTCACTTTCGTTCCAAACCAACATCCTAAAACATTAAAATAATTTTCTACCAATGAATCAACATCATAGCTTATAAACAAAAAAAAAAAATACACAACATTGTCAACAAAGCCTATACACAAAAAAAGATTCACATCATTGCCAATATACACATGATTTCACAGCTTATACATAAGAAAAGATTTCAGATTTTGTTCCAAACCAACATTGCCATCATAAACAAAAAAAAAAACACCTTATAAACAAAAAAAGATTTCACAGCATGATTTCATAACTTATAAACAAAAAAAAATCACTGCATTGCCATTTCACACATGATGTTTAAAAGATTTCACAGCCTATACACATGATGTTTAAAAGATTTCACAGCCTATACACACAAAAAAAATCACAACATGTTTACAAGACTTCATAGCTTATAAACAAAAAAAAATCACAACATTGCCAATAGACACATGATTTCACAGCCTATACACAAGAAAAAATTTCAGATTTTGTTCCAAACCAACATTGTCATCATGTCTTTAAGATTTCACAGCCTAATAACAAAAAAAAATCACAATATTGCCAATACATGCATGATTTCACAGCTTACATAACCAATTTTCAGATTTCATAAATTAGAGCAAATAATGATTCTAATTTCATAGCATTTAAACACATAATTTCAAATTTCATAACATTACAAGATGAATTTCTGATTTCATAACATTAGACCAAGAATAAATTTTGATTTGAAAACCAATTTGTGATTTCTTATTTCACGAATCATATACAACGGAGAAGGAAAAATAATTTTCACAAGAAAACATAGAACCTGTTTTGACGTCGATCCCGTCGGAGCTCGATCGGAGGGAAGGTCGCTGGCCGGCCGGTAGTCGGATTGGGGAGGGACAGCGATGATGGAGAGACTCGATCCCGTCGGAGCTCGATTGGAGAGACTCGATGGCGGCCCAATTCCTTGATGTCTCTGTATTAGGTCACGATAAGGAGAAAGAAACGAGAGGGCATGGAGGTAATTTTTCGAGTCAGCTATGTCTTATGGTCTGAGCGAGATCCTTATGAGTCACATATGTCTGATTGAGAAAGCTATTTCCCCAAACGTATTTCGTCTGACCGAGCCAGCCCAAATCGCTGAATCGGTCTCAGTAAGATGATAACAAACGACGCCTTCGTCTTCAACGACATGGATCACACATTCATATGTTCGTGTACATATTGCTTTCTAGCATGGGGGGGGGGGATCCCACTTGAG